AGATTCTTCATTAAAATTGAGGTGTCTCACTAACTTGAAATGTCTTTACTTCTTTTCAGCAGATTGTGCTCCATCACCCTTCAAACAGTTTCCCAAAATGTCACATTAAGATCCCATTAATATACACTAATAAAAAGCACCAAATAGCATTTAAACATACACGCAAGACCAAAGAAAACCATGACAAACACAGATATTCATATTAATTGAACACTTGCAGTTTGCTCGATATTTGCTGAGTGTATGAAAACAATATAAATAAATAAACAGTGATACAGCACAGATAAAAAGAGTTCCAATGACGCCGATAAAAAAAACAAGAAGAAGAAGAAAGAAAGAGTTCCAATGAAGACAATATTTGGTTTCTTCTTCAATACCTTGTACTGTTTTTTTGTAGTTTTTTTTATGTACTCAACAACCAAACCTACCTTCTCCATGTTTGGAACAAGCTCTTGTAGTTTCCTAATGCTTTCACTGATCCGGGTTCTCCTTACCTGTGAATTGCATGAATAAAGGAAGAAAACAAGTCACCAATGATAGATGTAAGCAGGAAAAAATTAGCTTTCATTCTAGACAATCAACAATAAGAAGATTTGAGGACATATGATTTGAAAAATGACATGCCTTGGACCAACTTATTTAAAGATCTCCTAACCTCAAGTAAAGCACTCTACTCGCAATTGGGATTTTGATATAACTAGCAGGTGTGAAGTGTTCCTGCAATCACATCAAGGCGAGGCAACATTAATTGTTTTATGTTCCAACAGAGAGGATATAGCAACAAAAAAAAAAAAAAAAAAAAAAAAAAAAACAAACAAACAAACAAAAAAAAACAAAAAGAAAAAAGCAACAAAAAAAAAGAGAGGAAAAAACTAGTGAGGAGGAAGCAACTAGTCCTTGTTTAAGAGAGAATTCAAGTTTCACCACACTTGAGAAAGAAGTCATTTTAACAGGGGAATTCTTAATGAAATTGTCTAGCCCATTTATTTCTCATATAGTTAAAATTATGGTTGTAAATTTACTTCCATATAAGAAAGCGAATAATATATATAGTTAGACTAAGAAAGCTTAAAAAGAAATCTACATCTAGATAGAGTTTCTGTAAACCTCTAACTTGATTTCTATAAATTTGACATAATTATGTTGAGCTCTATTAAGATTTTAATTTACCTAAAGCTTGGCTCTATTTTTACTAAAAATTTGTTAGGTTTATGGATGAAAAAAGAAAAATGTCAATGCTTTTACATTAAAATTATATATATATATATATATATATATATTCTACTCTTATTTACCATATGTCCACAAATCATCTGCATTAATTTCAATCTTTTCAATATTATTAAAAGAGAATTTGATGTAATTATATCAAACTTATAGGATACTTATTATATGGCAGCAAAGGAATAATTGGACCATTTTTAATAATCTCCCACACCATGTTGTCTGTCCCTTGAATATACATCATCATTCTATTTTTCCAACGGTCGTAATTACTACTAGTAAAATATGGAGGGTTGGAATGACCATCAATAATTTGTGTTCTTATAATGGTTACCATTGATCAGCTTTAAGACTGTTAAGTCAAAAAATAATAGAGCCCTTTGTTACCCAGAAGACAATCCAAGAGAGGGGTGAATTGGGTTTCTAAATAAATTGCTAAATTAAAAATTAACCCAAATAATAAATAAATAAAAATGCTCAACAATATAAAATAGAGTAATGAAATAAAATGAGCAAAGGGAAGAGAAAGCAAACTCAGCAATTTATAGTGTTTTGGCTTAACCCAAGCCTATGTCTACTCCTCAAGTATCCTCCTCAAGAATTTCTCCACTATTCTTCAAATAGTAATACACCCCTAACTTCGTAGGCACTAGTGAACCTTTACAACAAGTAACAAATTCCAATCACTTCAACTAGTTTAGAATCTCATGTCTAGTCACACCTAATCAAGTGATTTTATCTAAAAAATCACTCACAAAAATATCTTGACTAGTTTTGACTCCGGTACCTAGCCACACTCAACTCAAGTTATTTTATCTCGAAAAATCACTCACAAAAACTCTATCTTTTACAAGAATAGTAAGAAGGGTCCCTCTTACAATTTTTGCTAAAAAACTCAACAAATTCTCACAAAAAATATAATTCAATGAAGCATAATAATATTTTGAGAACAAATAAATATCACACATTTTTCTTTTACGTCTCTTCTTCACTTATGAATTTCTTCAACCAACATACTCCTTATATAGTAAAAAATATATCCTTTGGAGGAGGAGATGATCCTCTAGCACACTGCTTTGGATCATGAGGCAACATCACATGGAGAGAGAAATCACGCGAAAGTTTGAAAAAATAAAAGATGTATAATGAAATCTATTTAAATATTATTTAAATCAGATGCATCATACAATATATACTTTAACGGATAATATTTTGTGTTAAAGAATGAAAATATGTGTACTAAAAATCATGATAGATCAAATGTATTTTAGATATCATTAAAATCAAACAATATGATTAACATATTCATTCTAGAGTACCAACAAACAAACAAACAAAAAAAAGCTACCGAAAGGTATAGTTCAAATCAACAAAACAAACTAATTAATCAACAAATTGAATTAATGAAATATTCTAGTGGTGTGAAGCAAACAAAAATGATTTCACATTGTGTTACATTGAAGAGTGAAATAATAATTTTGCTTCACCAGCAGTCACTACAAAAAAACCAAGATTTAGTAGCGGCCAAAACTGTCGCTAAAACTAGGAAAAAGCGTCGCTAAAAACTAAAACACCTTTACCCGCGGTTGCAATAGTGGCGGCCAAACCACCGCAATAGCCCCGTTGGCATATCCTTATAGTGACGTTTTTCGCAAACGCTGGTATAGTTATTTTTATTGCGACAATTGATGTAGTGGTAGTTACAAATGTCGCTATATCTTGAATTTACCAATTACTTGCTAACTTTATAGCGACGGGTCGACTGCTGCTATATCCTTCACTTTTGCGACATTTTGTAAACCGCTGCTATATTTTGACTCTATTTGATAAGTTTTACACTGTCGCTATAACCATAGAATTCGTTTCGAATTTTATTTACAGCGACAGTTATTAACCACTGTTGTAGGCTATGTTTTTTTTTTTTTTTTTTTTTGGGGGGGGGGGGGGGGGGGGGAAAAAGAAAAAAAAAAAAAAAAAGTCATAAATAAAATGACAAAAAAACTACAAGATACAAGGGGTATACCCTAAGAGCTAACCAACTATACAAAGACACATAAACCAAAAAACAAAAAAAGACAATCTAGACAACAAAAACCATCCTGTTCACACACCACATAAGCAAAGAGCAAATGAGGGCAAGAACAAGGCAAACAGTACAAAAAAAAACCTAAGAGCAACATAACCTGGTTACATTGAAAAGATCCAAACAACAAAAGGAATTAAAAACAAAACCCAAAAGGCCATATTACAGGGACAATTTGATTACAAAATGATCAAAACAGACACCATAGCCCTGCTCACATTATATATCTATAACAACACTATTTTATTCTAATGGCTCAATACTCAATAATTGTAAAAGGTAAAAGAGTCTGCATTTTCATAATCCCAAAATATCCAAAACACCTTAATTAAAAGGTTCATTACATAAGCCTATAATACAAAAAAGATCCAATGTTTCTAGCAAACTAATAGCCCACACCATAATCCAAAAGAAAAACTTGTCACATAACAATAGCACTCAAAAGTATTACTCATGACACCACTTTATAAAGATCTCCATGAAAAATGTTTAAATCGAGAAATGACGTCCATTGTTTGATACCTCATATTATCTTATTTCCTGCAATAAAAATAATTGAATGAGCATAAGTATCATTTTCAATTTTAAAATCTATAAAGAAAATTTAGACTACAAATAATTCTCGACAAGTCTTTTTTTTTTTTGGTAAGTATATGGTTTACATATCAAAAAATAAAGATTACAATGAAGTTGAAGATCATAAAGCCAAACATTAGTAGCAGCCACCAAATCAAGCAACCACTAGCAACATCTAAGGGTCTATTTTTAATTGTATATTACAGTTTGATACGTTGTTGATATTCAAATTTGTTCGATTGCCCAATTCTCTATTTCATTGGTTTGTTTAGTATTTTTACGGATGCCAATAAAGGAAGCAAAGTAGAGAAGTCAACCTATCAAACCCCAATTTTGTCCAAACTAACTAACTAACAACTTATTGGTAAAGAAGTCATTAACAGTGGTTCTAAATTTGTGTCAATGTATGTGTATTGTAATGATGACTTACCTAGATTAGAAGGTTGCATTTCATGACTCCCAAAAGAGGATCTTTGATGTGTTCGTGGAGAAGCTTGGTCCAGAATGCCACTAGATCCATCTATCGCCTAATTTATACAATAAAATTTACATAAGTATGCATAAATTTAGAAAATGATAACATATGATAAATACATCATATAAAAGAATATGTTATATGTAGTTATACCCGCAAACCACCAGAACTATGTCTCTGACTCATCAAAAATGCTACTTGCTCTTTTAAAGAGTTTATTATAGCATCTTGAGCTTGTAACTAAATACCTTGAGTTTGCAACTGATCACCTTGAGTTTTTAGTTGTTCCTTCAACTCAATTATAGTGTCTTTGTCTCTCATTGTCTCTTCATCAAAAACCATTCTTAAGTGGTCAAAATTATTACACATGAAGCCATGCTTGGAAGGAGTAGACCCAAATCCTAAACCTCGAACACGACCATGATGCTCTTTACCCATCACTTGAGAATAAATATCATTTGGTGACCAAGATATACGTCCACCAACATTTCCTTCGGAGCTACTTGGTTATGAGCTCATCAAAGCTTCTAGTTTTTCCTATAGCATAAATGGGGGGAAAAAATAAGAAGACAAAGAGCGAGAGTGATTGTTTGCCACAAACACATTAGAATTTTGAAAATGTAACTCATTAAATGGGCATATAATTTTTGTAGTTGTTGCTTCATTGACTGGTGTCCCATCCTTCCTTTTGTGAAGCGGTATATATAATTTTGCTCGATCTAGTGCAATCTTATCTTTTTGCTCCTATGTAACAATCATATCGTTTGAGAATAAATTCATAATATAATGCGCTAACCAAATTCAAAATATAAAACAAGGAATGAAGTTTGAAATACCATATCATATGCATGTTGTGCATAAGTTTTAGATCCTCCTGTATGTGCACTTGTTTGCTCTTGCCTGCTTTCCTTATTGGTTGTACTAAGTTCCTTCACTCATAAATGCATAACAATATGTTAAAAAAAAAATGATATAATGACATTGTATTATTTGATAGAAAACATACATCTATGCATACCTGTCCTTCCTTTGAAAACCAATATGCGACAAGGTCAGCATAGTGCTCACGGTTAACTGTTAAAGGCGCAGTAGCTACTATCTGTGCTGCTCTCTTTGTCTCATCATAGTACTTTGCTTTTAGACTACATTTCCAATTTCTCCATTTCTCTCCCATTGACTTCAATGTTCGATGCCTAATCATATCCCTTCTCTCATCTTGAGGAATGGCAAACTTGGACTATAATTGTATGTTTTTTCATGTTATGAACATTCTTAAAATTATCAATACAATAATATAAACTAAATTTGTGCATTTCTTTGCCTAATTCTCATATTTTTACATGGAGATAATGAACCACACTAATTTCATACTTCTTACTTCTAGACGACACCTATATCCTAATACAGGAAAGGAACTTTCATACATATACATGCACATGCTAGTATTAGGAATATAAACCAAATTAATGATTCAATTATTACTTAAATTTGTTATAAAATCTAAGATTGTAGTTGAAGTTAATACAATTTTCTTTACTACTGAAGTAGAATTATCACAAAATACTTGTAGTTAGAAAATTATCTCGATAATATTCCAACAATCTTCTTTATACTGATCTGGCACTTCATGCCAATTCTTGTACTTAATTGGGCATAAGTGTGGCTTCCTAGCAATGGTGCCTATGAAGCGACTGAATATACCACCCTCTGTAGAAACAGCCTGCAAATCCTTGTTGAAGGTGAGCATAATGCGTTCTTCTGGAGTCAAATTCCACACTTCAACCATACGTAATTCCCCACGTTGTTTTCGCTTGGTCGATTCATCTATTACAATACAACAATGAAATATATCATGGAAAGTTAAGGGTGACTTGTAATTGTGTACCTCAACTAAAAATCTAATAATACCTGACGTTGCATTTCTTCTTCCCTTAACCAGTCCTCATCTAAATCATCTTCAAACTGAGGGTTAACCTCTGATTCTTGAGGTTGAGGATGTGGAACATGTGATGGAGCATGTGAGGAGGGATGTGACCAACTAGGTTGTGAAGAGCCATTTGATCGACTAGGCATGAAGTTCCATTTGCCGATTAAGCTGTAAAGAGGCATTTGAACGACTAGGTTGTAAAGTTCTATTTGGGCAGTCCAGCTGGGGAGAGCCAATTGAGTGACTAGGTTTGTGAAGTTCCACTTGGGCGTTAAGCTGTGAAGGGTTATTTGGTTGGCTAGGCTGTAAAGAGTTATTTGACTGGCTAGGTTGTGAAGAGCCATTTGATCGCTTATTTTGGGACTCATTCTCAAGATTGCAAGTTCTAAATCGTTTCTTTGCCATATCTGCTAGATAAAATAGATGTAATTAATCAAACACAAAGATATTAATCAAACTAAATGAGCATTTATCATAGTATACTAAAGATATTAAAGAACATAAGCCATAGGAAAATCTCATATACACCTCACAAGATATTTTCTTTTTCTACTTTTAAGGAGATTTTTCTGTACACAAGCATGGAAAGAGGAACAGATCTGTTACAATGGTGGATTGGGTATAAATTAGAATCTTGGAATGGAAATATGGGAGGTGTTTCTGTAACGCCCTAAAAATAAACCCATTAAATATATCATTGACATGCACTATTTAATGAAAACATTTTATTAATTCATTCATCAGAGTATTATTAAGTAAAAGCATTACATGTAACATCGAATAAATTGCCCAGCAGACTTACACTTTTCCAAGTCAACACTTGGATACAAAAATATGAGTTCTAACTCATTACTAGAAAAGCCCTGGCTTGAATGTTTACATGTACTAGTAAATAAAAACAATTATCTAAAGATAATCTTCTTCAAAATCCAGAAGCCCAAACCTCCTAAGCTAAGTCCTTGGAGGTAGCTTATCACCTGAACCTGAAATGATGTTCCCATAAAGGGTGAGCCACAGCCCAGTAGAAATATACTAAACCAAATATAAGCAATGAATAAAGCAATGGCATTCAACAGATGGTTAACCAAGATAATCCATTACTTCATTTACAGTCTCATGACACTATTGTCTAAGACACGTTTTCCTTCCAATTTTATCAACATGGCTCAGAACCTGGCCAATCTTACAACAGTGAATTATATATATCATATTCCAATCATTCCAATATCAAAAACAAATGAGACTCAAGCTCAGATCAAAAACACTTCATACTCCAGATTGATACACATTTAGTGCTGTATCAATAAAACACTTCTATATAAATAAGCACACATAAAAGTGATGCTAATGGAGTCCATCCCCTCATCTCCTCCAAACAAAAATCCGTTTTAACGAGTCCATCCCCTATCTTCCCCTAAACCCGTGGAGTACAATGCCTATCTCCGTCCACACAAAAACAATGTATGCAAATGCAAGCTCAATCAATACATGTATTTTCTGTATCAAATGCAAAGTCAAATTAATGACTAACCAATGTTGATAGTATCAGTTATCCTAATCCACATTTGCATGTCTACAAACAATCATGCTATCCTCCACCGATAGTCCAAAACAGTTATTTCTAAACTGGAAATAATATACCAACATCCAACAGGCGGTGATTTACATTATTCAACTACACCTTATTAATCAACAAATTTCCCAATTTCATGATTCAGACCAAATTCCCAGTTTCCTCATTTAATGTTCAACATTAATTATTTAAACAACTAGGGGGTTTTCCAAAATTATCAAAGACCCCCAACTGTCAAAACCAAAACACTCCAAAAAATTAAAACAAAAACTTATAATGGAGTAGGAAAATCCTACTCGAAGAAACAACCCAAATGGAGAAGACAAGATGAATACCCAAATACCATGTGCTCCAAACGTCCACCATTGGGTTCAGAATAAATGAAAAGCCCTCGACTCCTCTATCTTTTTAATAAAGCAACTAGGGTAAGAAACACTCTCTAAAACAGATTCAAACCCAAAGAGAATATGATAGGAGAGAGAGAAGTCCGAACCCTTAGGGTTTGAATCTTAAAAAGATGATCAACACTGATTAACAAACCCCGCTGCTAAGTATATAAACTGGACAGGCTTCGCTCGAGCGAAGACTTTGTCGCTCGAGCGACCACGACACAGAGAAAACTACGCCGAGCCAGGAAAGCCTTTGCTCGAGCCAACAATGCCAAAGCTTGCTCGAGCGAAAGAAACTCGAATCGAGCCGAAGAACTCAAACCTCAGGTCTGAAACCAGACACATCGCTCGAGGCGAAGGAACTAACGCTCGAGCGAAGACAACTAACACGCTCGAAGCAGAAGAAAAGGTCGCTCGAGCCAAGAATGGCACAGCTAACACAGTGTGCCAAATCAACGCAACTCATCGCTCGAGCTAAACCAAACCCCGGCTCGAGCGAAAGAATCCAAAATTCTGGACAGCAACACTTGGTTTTTCCTAAACCCACCAACCTGAAACAAACTGCCAACACATCCAAATAACCTTCAAAATAAGAAAATATGGACAACAACAACAATTATATAAAGACAGAACTACGGAACCTAAGTCCGGAATACAATAATCAATGGGAAAGACCGGGGGTCGCTATAAAACCTCCCCCTTAAAAAGAATTTGTCCCCGGAAATTAAGCATAAGTTTTGAAACAAAACAAGTTTTTTTTTTTTTTTTTTTTTTTTTCAAAGATATTAAACACACCATTAAAACATTCTTGAACCCCCAATACGGTTCACCTTCATCTCTTATCAAGGTTCTCACAATATATAAAACAACACATATCTCAACGCTGTATCATTATTATGCAATATTTCCTTCAAATGTTAACAATTTCCTCAATCATATTCAATGCATGATATATATATAGCACATTCAACAATGTACTGAAACAGATGCAATGTTACACTAAACTTTATATGAAGCAAGTTTCAAGATAACCCATTTACTAAAACATACTGAATGGTTTTATCAACTTAAACATATGTAAGGCTCTAAATTAACATTATTACAAAAAATTAAATAAACAAAGATTACAAATCGATAAACATTCCGGTATTTTTTCCGCGGAACTTCTAACTCACGTTCCCAAGTGCTTCCTCCCTCCGTGAGTTTCCACAAAACTTTGACAATGGATTGGTTTTGCCTCGCAGAACTGGATCCCGCCTATCTAAGACCCGAACCGGTCTCTCCTTCATCACGAACATCCTCTCAAACTACTAATCGGTCCAATCCAACACATGTTGATGGATCCGTCTCTACTTCCCGAAGCATACTCACATGAAACACGTCATGGTACTCCGGACAAGGCTGCGGCGGTAAAGCTAAAACGATAAGTAGCTCGCCAATCCTCTCAAGGATTTTCAAAACGGACCAATGATACCGAGGGATTAACTTCCCGCTCTTCCCAAACCTCATCAAAACCCCGTTCTAGGTTGATATCTTCAGAAAGACATGATCAACCCACCAAAACACCTAAAGATCTCCTCCTACGGTCGGCATAAGCATTCTGACGACTCTGTGCTGTAATCAAGCCTCTTACGGATAAGCTCAACTTTCTCCGTCGCTTCCCTCACCAACTCCGGACCCCAACAGAGTGCATCACCCACCTCGCCCAACAAACAGGAGATCTACCACGGTCGGCCAATAAAAGGCCCTCAATACGGTGCCATACCGATACTAGACTGGAAGCTGTTGTTGTAGGCACAAATCTACCAATGGCAAATGCTCTCCACAACCCCACTGAAATCAAAGGACACAACCCCGAAGCATTATCCTACCAGATCTGATAGTAACGCTCAACGCCCGTCAGTCTGAGGATGATAAGCGTGCTTAAAAGTCAATTTAGTGCCTAAGGCACTCTGCACTCTGCACAAAACCTGGCAGTAAAAACGAGGATTGCTCTATTGAGACCGATCGTCAACTGACCCCGTGCAACCTACATGTCCCAAATATATAGATGCGGCCAGAGATCGACTGAACTCTCTAACACGCATAGGAATAAAGTGTGCGCTTAGTCAATCCGGTCCTAACACACCAAATGCATCACTCCTC